TTCTTAAATTAGAGAAATAACTCCATAATTTGATTCACAACAAAATAAATGTGCTTTGGAATAGTAAATTATGAGGACCATGGGCTTGTGAATATAATCTGCCAAATAATAGTGTATTTTACTTATTCATTGTCATTTGAATTAAATTATAAGATAAGTTCTTTGCTTAACTTATAATGAAATATTTGCAATTTACCTCATTTTAATTTTTTTAAAGAATCTTTTGTAATTTATATAAATTGAAAGATTTTGTGGTAATTGTATGCTTATTTAAATGTATATATGATTATATTATTTCTGCAGCTGGTTATGAGACTAATATATTCGACATCGTTTCTAGCCTAATTAATTAAAATATTTGGTGTAAAAGATTTTGTTTGTTACCTTTCTTATTTTAAGCATGCTAAGATATATCTATTTATGTAAGAGAAGAATTAATAGATTAGGTTTTATTACAAATATTACGGGATATTTCAATAATTTTTAATTAATGAGAAGTATTTTAGCATTCATGAATACATTATGTTATCCATTCACTTACCTTTAAATGATATGTCAGGCATGTTTCACCAAAAGTCTAATTGATCGGTGGATGTACCTGTTATTAAAGAGATGTTTATATCGAATAACAGCACTTCATTTCATACATTTCCCGTAGCAAACAGAAGTTTATTGTTCTTTTTTGTAGTATATTCACTTTATGACCTATTGATTGCCGATTTTCAATTTTGATTAAATAGCAGTTTTGATTTTGTAGTTTATCCATTTCAACTTATTACAACTTATCGATTTTTGATCTTCGATTTTGATTAGAAATGTTGTGTTTAAAATTAGCAGCATTTATTAGTAATCATATATACTTCATCTTATTTCAGAAGCTTACCATTTATTCATCCTTATTATTTTTATTTCATTTAATTTTAGCGCATACAGAAATTCAATTCTCTTTAGTTTTCACCTTTTTTTTTTGTTAAATTTTGGATTAAATTATCTGATATGCATTACTTTCCTAAAATTCGTTAACATACGAGATGAGTTACAATACATGTGACAATTAAATGGGCCATCATATGAGGGCAATTACACATACATTACATGCATTTCAGTTGAAAGAGAGGAAGTGTTGTTCATACACACACCTGTACCTGTATTCTTCAGCAACTCAATTTTCTTCATTATCTTATGCAACAAATCAGAAGATATCTTTGCCATTAAGAAATTTCGATCCCAATCTTGAATATCTTCACATAGTCTTCTTTTCCTATTATACTAACATTGCTATTTGGAAGTAATCTTTTTTATTTTATTACTTCTTATTATCTTTATTATACTTTATTATTATACTTATTATACTTTATTTATACACTGGAAGTAAATTTTCATTATTATGTACTATATTTTCGTTTCATTTTTTATATTTCATACTTTTTTCTGTTGTTTCACAAAAATTGGTCATTTTATTATTTATAAAATGTTTTAGCCAATTCTGTGCGTTGTAGCATTCGTATTTAGGTATATTTCTCATTTTCCATTGTACATAGATGAAAAACTATGACTAATATTTTATATCAGTAAATTATGACTTGTAAGCATTGTACAGCATAACTTTAAAATTTATATTTGATGTTATTTTCAATTAATGATCCAAATAGGCTCTTTTGAGAAATATTTTATAATAATGATCATTTTATTTGGTTACAATTTTTGGTTTGTTTTCGTTAAAATTGTTAAATTTTACAGGTGCTTGTTATCTTTGTCTTTTTGGATGATTTAAGTAACAAATCACCCGATAACTATCCATATTATTTCTACTATTTAGAAAACTAACGATTTCTTATGTATGGGAGAGTTTAAAAAGAAATGCTAATTATTTGAATTGCTTAAAAAATCTGTTCATGTATTCCTCTCTTAATCATAATTCGAATTGTCTGTCTTCTCCACTTGATTTCTATCAGCTTACATTTTCCACTGATGATATTGAAGCAAATACTCTATCGCATCCCAAAAATGTAAGTAAAAATTTTGACACATGAAAATATTTGTTTTAAGAAGCGTGGAGAAATTTTGTGTATAATTCATAATTATAAATTGAATGCTAATATGACATCAAAAATTTTATTTAGGACGATTAACCGATTAACCGACTGCTTAATTGGTAAAACCTTTCTCAGCATGCTGCATACGAACTATTATATAATTTAGTAATAATTCAGAAACGATTTTAGCTAATTTTTTTTAATATATATATAGCTAGAAATTAAATAGAATTCTAATTTGGTGAAAAATTTCTTTTGAAAATTAAAAAATAACTACATGTAAATAATTGCAGAAATCGACGGACGGCAGTGACACGATAAAAGAAACATTATCTGATATCCATCAGCAGTTAAATCAATTGGCATCCGAGAATTTGGTATGTTAAATATACATTTAGCTTTGATACTTCAAGAAGAAGAGATGTTAAACCTTCATTTTTAATGAGTTGATTAAATTGTTTATTTACCATGCTATTAAGTAAGCAATTTTCGAAATTACGATGCTAAAAAAGACTCCGTTAGATTAATTAATTTTATATAATTTAATGTAGATTCAACTAAAATCAGTTGATTGCGGTTTTGATAGCATAATTGAGAGTGGAGTTTTCTAGGAATTTTTCAAATGTTTTGCAATTCTCTTATCTACATTTAATTATATTGCCGTATATTTCTAGAGCCTGCAAGATAAAATCAATCGACAGTCCGATGAACTGTCCGAAGCGAGAGCACAACTACGTGGATGTCGCGGGCCGATCACTTTTTCTCTTGGTTAGACTTTTTCACCTTTGTTTTTGCATTTCATAATTAGTAGTTTATTTCAAAACTTTCAATCAGATAAGATGCTCTCCATTATACTGAAGAAGTTTTTGTAACAATTAGACTGAATTAATATAGAATAATTAGTTAAACTTGCAATCGAATACTAATGATACGAGATGTTTCGGAAGTTGCAGTTGTTCAGTTGCTATCAGTGAAATAATTATATTGAGTTTTAAAAAATGATTATTTCAGACAATACCTCCGATGCAGATATCATTCATTTGGAAGCACTAAAGAAAGAGAATATTGAGCATTCTTCATTTTTAGAAATTTTCAATGTACCAGAATTTACAAGGATACTTATCTGTGGTAGGTTCCATTTTATTAGGCAGATCCGAGGGTTCTGAAATTTTAAAATTTCGACAAAGGATTGTTTTGAAATTTTTTTGAGCCTAATTTTATTTCTTAAACTTTGAAGCGAAAAGTGGAGTAATGAAAATGGAAAAAAAAGACAAAATTTACTGAATTAAATCTGCCAAACCATATTAGCTTACAGATTTGAAGCCACGACTTGCTCGGCTGTTGACGCCTTGCTTGCCAGCATATCTTCTGCTTGCAGCCTTCCGATACTATGATCATATTAAAGACGAAGCAGGCCTAACTGGTTTATTCTCGGCTGTTCATGTAGTACTGAAGGATACATTGGGAGTTAGTTGCCATTTGAGATTGATAAATTCACACTTCATTGCATTAGTAACTGTTTTATAATGTTTTAAGATGATGAGTGAGATTTTGGATTCTTATATCAATTAGAGAAATTCAAATTGTTTTTTTTTGAGTTCTGATTCCTTGGGAAAATGTTAGGAGTGCAATGATGTTTGACTGAGGAGTTATGAGATGAAAAACTTAAAAAATAATTTGAATTATTTTGTACTATTTCAAGCAAATGACAATTCATAGATTATAACTTCTACCTAGCTAAGATTTCTTCCCTTTAGAATACAGTCCTTATTTTCAACAAATTTTTAGCATTCAAATGATATGGATGTGCTTTCGTTGTGGTTGGTTAATTCGTGGCGTTTGTTGAACCTTTTACGGCAGTATAGCGGTGAAAACAATAATGTAAGCATTGAGGAACAAATTGAAAAAATTTTATCAAAATTTGTCAAAATTTTATTAATAGGAATTTTCCAACAAATGATTTTCTCCCATCTTAGGAGAAAATTCTCAATCTATCTTAGGTTAAGACAACAAAGTTGCTGTCTGATAATTTTAGGGAGTTTCTTTCTGCTTTCAGGAATGGTCTGCTGCTAATTCAGAAAAACAAAATAACCAGCGGATGCAAAGTTTTGATCTAAGTCCTTTGCGGAATCAACTTCGTGCTCGAGTTGAAGAATCATTCCAAAATCTTTTGAAACGAGCCATCGAACCAGTACTTTCGCCAAAAATAGGTTAATTTTTTTAGAAACAAATTTGTTTTTGTGACATTTTCAAGTTTCACATCTTTTTAACTCAAAAAACAACTCTCATTTGATAGTTCCCGCTATACTGCAACATGAATCAAGTCAAAAGATGATAAACGGTATAAGTGCAGAGAATAATGAACGACAACAGTCTATGAAGGAGCAGAGTTCGCAACGAGCTTTAGATGATTTAATTGAATTGGTTAGTCGAATCATAATTTTCCATCTTTCAGGTATCTTTCAGAATGAATTGCATGTTTCAACGGTCTTCATTCTCATTTTTAAAATATAACCCATCAATAAGTCTTCTTTTGTTTTGAAATTTAATAGTTTAATTTTTTACATCTTCCTATGGTTTTATCCATCTTTTTCAGCTAAATTTCATTCAAAACAAACTGAGAGTGTATGGTGCAGATTCGGTGCTATTAGGGCAAGTGTTCGGACAAATGACTTACTGGATTTGTGCGCTAGCACTGAATCATTTGATGTTTAGGAAAGAACTGTGCAATTTCGAGAAAGCCATACAAATCAAGTAAATTATATATAATTAAATAAACTACATATTGCAAAAGAATTGTTATCGTTGATAATTTTCCCACCTGTGTTGTGTTAATTTGTTCTTCTGATTAAATTAGATGACTTAATTCAATATTTCTAGACATAACGTTACCGAAGTACAATCATGGCTTTCTGCTAATGGATTATCTGCACATCGTGAAACGTTGGAACCATTGGTACAGGCATCTCATTTGCTGCAATCCAAGAAAGATGAATCAAATTTAGACACTCTATGTGGTGAAATGACTTCAAAACTGAAGCCAAAACAAGTAAGTTGGTCCTCTTTAATTTTGATTTTGATTAAGAGATCAGAAGAATATGTTAATCTTGCTTTAATTCAATTTCTAATTACCAAACAAAAAAGTTGAAAATTGTAACGACGTCGAATGAGATCAGTCAGTTCATCGTAGGCATATATTGGATTATAAATTACTTTTTCGAAATAATACTTTATGATTACTCCGCTCAATTACAATACTGTTTCCAGTACCGCTTAAAAAGTATTCTCTTGTATTCATCTAAATATTAGAACAATACACTGCATTTTTGTTGATACAGCAATTGCAATAAATGCGGTTCATGTACCAGTTCTTCAAAGAAGATTTCCTGTTTGATGGATATAACCTAACTGCCAACTGCTCGTTGAATTTTTAACTGAGCTATATTCGTAAGAGAACGTAGTGCATCTCTTTTCCGATGATATCTATGATTTTAATATCTATAATTTTAAAAATGTAGGTTATGGCTATATTGCAACATTATACTCCAACGGATGGCTTTGAAGAGAGACGACTGAGTCCCGATTTTCTAATCAAAGTTTCCGAAAGATTGAATGCTAGGACGAGAGCAAATGGAGGAACAGATGCTGATATTGTGAGTTCTTTTTCAGGTCTTACATGATTTAGTTGACTATCAAGCTGTAAGCTATAATCTAGTTTCAAGATACATTTTTATTTCTTCGGTTTGAATTTCGTAAATCAGTCCGCAAAGTTTCAGAATACACTAATCATGATGGGTACTTATTTGACGCCTTTCAATTCTGAATCGTTTGTCTATTCGGATTTTAACCTGGAGGCATTATCATTGCCTACTTGTCTGCATTTGCAAGCGGTTTGTAAGTTATTATAGGATTACTTCATTTCTGAATCAGTTCCACGTACAGCGATAATTACATATTTGAGACACAAATTATAAGGCATGCGTATTTTGGGTGAATGGAATTTATCAATAACTTTTGTGGTTCTACTAAAATTATGAATTACTTCCTCTTTCATGATATGTTTTTATATGTATGTCGATACTGATTAAAGAAATGATTTTTACTGTAATAGATTATTTAATTGCTATGATTTCTGCTAAGGTTTTTCATTTATGTATAATTTTATGCCTTCTGATTAAATACAGTATTTGTTAACATTATGCTATGGAGATGATCAATAAAGGCACAGCCATAAAAAGTGGACTGTGCAATTTTTTTTTCTTTGGACTTGAAATTCCTTCCTATAGAAGTATTTATTTGAATTGTATAAACACATAAAATCTGAAATATATTGCAGATCAAATTTGCAAGATTTGTATATAATTTTTGGTGAGTTTTCAAACGTGGAAATTGTTCTTTTTCCTTAGATTTGAAATCTCTTCTTGTAGAAGTATTTATTTGAATTGTATAAATACATAAAATCTGAAATATATCGAGCAGTAATTTGTTCTGTTGACAAGTAAATGTTAGTAATGGTTCTGTTTAAACTGAAGAAAAAATATAATCTCTCTTTATCAGCATCGTACGTCTAAAAATGGAAGCTACCCTTCTTCAATTTGTAAAAAAGTTTAATTTTAAGAGAGTATTTCAAGTAATCTTCTAATAATTACGATTTTGCCGCCAGAAGTACTACCTCTTGATAGTGGTATATTTTAATTTGATAGGGTAAATTTAGCCGCTTCTCTAAACTGTGTTTTCTCGACAGCATTCATATTTCTTATTTACTACATTTGGAACAACAATTCAAAGCCTTTTCATAAAGTTAAATACACCAATACTGAAAGGATCTCACATACGGACATATGCGCATACTCGTATTATCAAGTAAGTAGAAGTTCTCTACAATTGAAAATAAAATGAATGATATAAATTTCGAAGTCGTGAATTGATTTACACTCACTGAGAATTTTCCGATTTTTACTTTCGAAATCCAAAGAGCAGCGAATTAAAAACATTGCAATGCAGAAATGTTTTAGGCAAGTATATACATGGTTTTAAAAAAAGCCATAGTAAGGCTTACATTTGATGTTCGTTTTGGAAAGCCTTCGAATGAAGATTGGTTCTGCTCCTTCAAAGAAATTAAATAAACGAGGAATTCCATTCTTTCCATGTCTAACAGTGCTCCATTTTGAACAGCTTTTGTCAAAATGTGATTAAAAAGTTTCTGTTGAAATATGATTGAAAAAAAAAAAGAGTGGAGGAAACTTTTTCTAAAAAACTGCAAAGGTAACCAGACATAAAACATAGATGCATTTAACAAAAATATTTCTCATAACAAAAGAAATCGTATGAAATCTTTCTCATATCTTTGCATGCTTCCAACTTTTTCGTATTTGAAGTTTGCGTTATTAAAATAAATCCAAAACTTTTGAATCAAATAAATCTGTGACATTTGAGAAACATTCAGCGTACCATTCTTTTTTACTGGACAGTTCAGACTGATATGATATGACTTGTCATTTACTGCTGCAATATCACTTATCATGCATGAACAATTAAAAATATGCCATCTTCACTTAAGTGTTGCAATATATGAAATTACTTTAGTCATAATGACTATCATATTGTAATTACAATCGATCAGCTCGAAATTTAATCCAAATTCTAAATCGCGCCACTGATTATTCTATCCTTTTTAGGACAACAATAACACTGTTACTTCAAAAGATCTCATTCCCAGATGACCTGAATTGCATCGGAAAACCAATAGTACCCAATGTTCCTAGGCCACTAGGCCAGAACCCATCAATCACTTCATGCATTAGGCTTTCGATCTCTTCGCCATTCACTCACATCTTGGCGCTCTCATCCATTAACACACTACTTCAATCGATATTCTCTTCGATTGTATCACACTGATACTCCGTAACTTTAGGTCATAATGTCGGCGAAGTAATAATTCTAGAATGTGTTCTTCCAATGCTATATTAGTGAGGAAAGATTATTCAGATGCATGGATTCTTATCAGTTAATTATTTCCTAACTTTGTTAAACGTTAAAAAGAATGATCTCTTTTTTAAGCACACAAAGTAAATATACGTAAATCACGTATTATTTGTAATTAATGTAACTTAATAAAAAATTTTCAAATTCATTCAGATAATTTGATCACATCGAAATGACATCTTTCGGACGAATTGCTGTACTAATTGATTTGTCCGGAACGCTGCACATTGAAGATATTTGTATTACCGGAGCTCCAGCAGCTCTACAACGATTAAGGCGCAATCCTCGTTATGTTATCAAATTCGTTACCAACACAACGAAGGTACTTTTCCATTTTTTGATAACATTTCATGAAATATTGCAACTCTTCCAACTTTATCTATTTTGAGTAAATTAATTTGAAAAAAAAAATTTTTTTGGAATTTAATACCGATTTTAAAGGCAAGAAGTCTGCTATGTTAAATCTCAAGTAATTTTTTTTTCGAGAATTTCACAATTTCGCGAAAATTAGGAGATTTCATAGTATGAACTGCTGGATAATTTTATTTGCATTTCATTCTTATAATTTTTTTAAATTATATTTTTGCGATTTTATTTGCTTGCTGACATTAGTTTATTGCTATTTTATTACTTTTTGTAGGAGATGGTAATAATGAGACCCATAGTTCTCATTTCTACGATATGTCATCATTTTTAAGATCCAAGCTTCTATTCATTTTGTCAATTTTGAAAAACTAATCTGATGCAGGATTGAATAAAGTTAAGAGATTTATTGCTACTTTTTGAGCTTGATTTTGTTTTTGTTCAGGAATCAACGAACCGACTCTATGAACGCCTTACAAAGCTTGGATTGGAAATTACACGATCGGAAATATTCACTTCACTTACTGCTGCTAAAGATCTCATCAAAAAGGAAAATTTACAGCCAGCATTATTTTTAGAAGACGCTGCACTTGAAGATTTTAGAGGTAGACATTATCAAATACTAAATTTGGTTCAGTATGACTGAAGAGTAAATTAATCTGCTATGTTATTTTCATTTTATTTTTACTGTGTAGAATATCCAGTAGTCGCATTCTTCTTTGTCTTATTATTAGTACTTAATAATTATCACAATGCCTTCTAAATAGTAAAACTTATTAGTACTCACTGATAATATAATCTAGATTTGAATGTGGACATTAAGAAACCGAACGCAGTAGTTATTGGACTTGCTCCCTCAAAATTCCATTTTAAATCTTTGAATGAAGCATTTCGGCTACTGCTGTGCGGTGCGAAACTAATTGCCATTCATAAGGGACGATATTTTAAGCAAAAAGATGGTTTATCATTAGGACCAGGCCCTTTCGTACAAGCGCTTGAATATGCCGCCGATGTTGAAGTAACTGTTTCTAAATAACCATATATTTTGCTTAAATTTATGTTATTTTTAAGCTGATTTATAATTATATTTACATTACAATTTTCTTTATTAGTTTATTATAATTTCGGCATAAAATAAAAAACGAATCCATGATATGATTTATTTTTTTTACTAGAAATAGAGTTTTTTCATTTTAGTCTCAAGTGGTCGGCAAACCGGAACGTGAGTTCTTTTTAACAGCTTTAGCTAGTATCGATAATTCTTTGACGCCACAACAAGCTGTGATGATTGGTGACGATGTTCGAGATGATGTTCTTGGAGCTATCAATGCTGGAATGCGTGCGATCCTTGTGAAAACTGGCAAATATTCTGAAGGTTTCTTTGATTTTTTTTGCCATTTATCTAATTAATATATATATATATTTTGATGCAGTTTGTATCGGAATGATGACCATACAAAAGTAGCACTTGCAGTTTCGCGTCAAATGAACTAGTGGATTAGTCAAATTTATCGGCGCTATAAATTAGGCTATTGAAAAAGGTGAATTTAATCGGCTTCTATTTCCGATCGTGTTTGTTCTTTATCTAATACCGGTCTTTATTACAAATAAATTTTGCAAAAAGTTGTATAGGGTTACTAGACTACCATTCTATTATATATTTTATCTAATTTTACAAATTAAATTATATTCTAGGCGATGAGTTGAAAATACCGGAGACTTCGAGAAATTGTGTAGAAAGTTTTGTGGAAGCAGTTGATTTGATCGAAAAAAATCTTGTTAAATGATGCTTTCGAAGTGTGTTTGGGTCTACTTCTTGGAATAGAAATGAATACTTTTAGCAAAGCAGGTAATTGAGAAATTTATTTTGTTGTTAGAGAAATAACGTTGGGATTTCGATGTTGACAGGCCGCAGTTTTGGTACATTTGTTCATCCTCAAAAAGAAATATGTTTATACATTTAAAGACATATTTATAAAATGTACTCAGCACTCCATTTGAATGTTAGATTTCTATTTTTATTTCAATTTAGTATTTTTATGTGTGAAAAGACTTTAAAAGTTAAGCATGAATTATTTATATGTTGATTATACTATTAAATCTCCGACACTTTCTGGTCTTGAATTTTCTTGCTTATTTTCAGAATTTCTGGAATTTTTTCATAGAGTAATTTGTTATGAAGTTTAACTAGTTACTAATTTAAGAGATATACTTACTTTCAGTTTTATATGAGCATAGAATTTGGTTTTTTCCTAAGATATCTTTAATTAAGGGTCGTGAGGCTTCAAGACAATCTTATTCGTTCATTAGTGAGCAATTGCAATGATGAAGATTGTGGGCAAAAGGGCTTAAAAAAGATTGTGGGTAAATACATTTGCAAGATACTTTGAGGAATAAGATACTTTGAAAAGATACTTTGAGGGGAAGTTACAATAAGATAGCAATAAGATACTTTGAGGGGAAGTTACAATTCATACTTCAACAAGAAAATACAGTAAAATACTGATGGTATGATTTTCTGCTTGCATAAATATAAAATATTCTTTTTCATTTGTCAGATAAATACATTTTATTGAGGTGTAAAAAGCTGCGTGATTTTGTTGAATATATTTGGGAAATTGATAGTAGTTGATGGGTTTTGATTATCATAGCTTCCTTTCTGAATCCTAGTAGTTATTTGATGATAGCCATGCTTTATAGGTGACCAATTTCAGAATTCCAAGTAAAAATTTCGGTTTTAAAATGCTGTTACATTTTTGCTTTCAACAAAAACAAGTGGCAACAATCTTGCAAAAAAATCATTACATTCTTTTCCTCATATAATTTTGCTAAACAATTACTGTAAATATATCGAATTTTTATATACGATTGAACATTTCTAGTTTTCAATTGACAAAATGATTTTGTTAAGCCGTCAAAAGTAATTTTGTAACATTACAACGAATGAAGAGCATATAGCGCGCTGTAAAGCTGATAACTTATTTCATCATTTCCAATCATTTTTTACGCGCTGTTTCCTCCCAGTCGTATGGATCGGTTAATTTGCAATCACAGACTATTGATGACTGAAATTTTCATACAATGATAGCTATTTTTCATTACGAGTTATTAACAAGTTAATAGGATACCAGCATATTTTCTTCATTAGGGTAGTACCTCTTCATCATATTAAATCAGATTTTTGCAAATCTCTTACTGGAGTGGATGATAATATTACAATTGTTTGATTGGTGCTTGATTTAATTTATTAAAAATGTAAGTGGAAAATGCAAAACATTTACTATATTTAATAAAAGGTAAAATAGAATAGTTCAGTAAAATATACCGTTTTCAATAATTCATATATGTAAGAATAATCGACACGATCTTCATAATGCAGTGAATCAATGTAGTCTAAAATTTTGCTGAACTCTTCCTTGCATTTTATTCCGTATAGCAATTTGTCTCGATTCGTACGACTTTCTTCCTTTACCCTCAATACTTCATTCTTATCCGATATTTTTCTCCATGGTAAACCTTAAGTAAAGATTTAAAAAATTTTCAAGGGTTACACGGTAAGTTGTAAAGAGACAGAAATGACAGATATCAGATATTAGGAAGGTTTAGAAAGGAGATATTAAAAGACTACTGATACCTATTACGATGAGAAGATCGAGTAGAAGGTAAAACCATGATTCACAATCATCTTTTGGACCCAGTTCTTTTCGTTTATGACATGCTATAGGCGCAAATTTCACTGTACCTTTGAAACCAACTGTTACACGAGGTGTTTTGATTTCACCTTTGTCATTGAGAATTCGTCGTGCTATCCCAAAATCAAGAATATAAATCTGAAACTTAGGTTGAAATGTTGCTAATAAATTTTTTAGAGATCAAGTCAGAATTCTACTTACTTAAGCTAATTACGTTTTATCTAAGCCAATTGCATTTACTTTTCATCAATATTTGATCATTTAAAAATATGAAACAACTGACGCATCGTATTTGAGCTCCAAGACCGGTTGCATAATTAGCAGGTTTCAAATCTCGATGGATAAAACCATGCTTATGTAAATCCTCCACTGCCTCCAGACATTGTATCGATGCGCCCAAACCAGTATGTATTGAGAATACCTAATGACAATTCCGTATCATTTCAAATTTCGATTTTCATGTATTTGAATAATGCAATGATTAGCAAATTTAGAAGTATAGATAATTAGCTTTGACAGTATCACTATCATTCGTTATTATTATGCTGGTTAATATTACAATATTTTCACTAGATCAAATTGGAAATTTTTCGATATCTTTGCTTTTTGTTATTTTCCATCCATTCATCTATCATATATTTTAAATTAATTATTTTTAAAAATTTAAATTTAAATTGGTCTGCGAAAACTTTTAGTCACTTATTTACAATTATCATTAAACACTACGATATGAGAGTAAATAAATATCCTGTGTTGAATTTGTGCTTGTGATTATAGATCAATGATATATATTATGATCAGATTTAAGCTCACTACTTAATCACTCAGTAGAAGATATATTATTCTCGTTAGCATACAAAGCATTTTTTTTCAACTCCTAATACCAAATAATACCTTATGCGGTCGTAAAGCTTTAAGATCGGCAAGTGATTTTCCAACCAGTTGCATAACAAGAAAAAAAAACTTCTCTTTCTTGCCTCGATCGATTATTTTTGTAAAATGTGACTTTTCGGCTCGTTCAGTTGAGACTAATTTCAAAATGGCAATCTATAAAAAGGGGGAGCGCTTTCATGTTTTATGTTACAAATAAACATAATGATATGACAACGAATTAACTAAAATTATGTATACTCAAATGATACAGAAGTCATCAAAAAAACATCGTAACAAAAGTGATGCTATCATTGAATCGTTTCAAAATACGAAGAAATTCAATTATCGTTAACTTAATTAATATGTTAAACTATAAAGTGGATGTCAGACCTCCATTTTCAGTTTGGAATCTTTACGAGTCTCAAGTTTTCGTTCCACTTTCAAAGCATACTCCATGCTTGGATTATTGGAATCGTGAACTCGATAAACGGCTCCGAAACCACCTTCGCCGAGTAATTTATCAATTGTATACTTTGCATGCGACGATTCAATCACTGATCCCTAAATGCAAAAATTAGCTTTTCAGAGAATTCACCAAATTTAGCTATTAAAAATTATCAGATAAAAAAGTTGTAGAAATTAAATAAGTCAATTTACTGACCGGTTTCAGACCGAAGTCCTCCTCCTCTTCGCTATCCATCCTGAATCGAGCAACAGTTTTTGAGTACAACGACTCAACGAAGAAAACTAGGAACTGTAACACTGGACTGTCAATATTTCTAGTATTTTATAATCACTAAATATAAATTTGTATATTATACAAATTTTTTTGATGAAAAAAGTATATATATATAAAATTCAGATTTGAATTATGAATTGAAAGATATCTTTTCTCGACTGCAATTGTTGAGTCATAAAATTCTGAAAAAATTCAAGATTTAAATTTTGGTCTGTGGAGAAATTTTTCACAGTGTGAAAACTAATCCAAAACTCACACTTAAACTTACCGTATGGCAAGTATGTAAATTTCCAAACATAGTATAAATACTATAAAAAATGTGAATTTTAAGAAAACAATCATTTCGATTTCATCGCATCCAACTGAAATTTCTACATTTTCATTTTCTCTTAAACAAAAATCAATGGATACATTAGTGATTGCGCATGAATTAATTTATTTTGCAATTCTTCCATCATTTTTATTCGCTGTTTCATTAATTCTCTGTGCAAGTCCTCGATCACAACGGAAGGTAATTGCTCTTTTACATCTTAATTTAGTTTTTCTTTTTGATTAGCTTATCATTTCAATCAGTTGTTAAGGTTTATTGCCATAAATATTCATTCGATCATGTATAAATGTATCAATTAATTCTAATATTTTATATTTTATGAAATTTGTGTTTATTTTAAAAAGCTCCTTAATTCAGGAAACAAATTTTAGTCTATAGAGGAAACAAAAAGCAATAAGAAAGATACGACAAGTAATGAAATCAAAAAAACCGGAAAAAAGAGATCAAAAACTAAAACAACATCTACAGAGGTAATTTATTTTTGTAATTAATGATTATTAATTATGCAGTGATGAGATGAATGAATAACTGTTGAGAATTTTTGAAATTTTTAAAAAAAAAGTTATTAGATTGAAAATTTATGCTTTTTAGAGTATTAGAATGCAAAAAGCGCGGAAATCAAAACGGGAATTAAAAATGAAAAAATCAAAAAGATCATCACTATCAGGCAAATCTTTGGAAAGATTTTCATCTGGACTGACGCGAAGTAGCAGGTGGGAGAGGTTCCGAGAGGTACTCTTTCCTTTTTTTGCTCGATTTTTGAAAAGTTGAACTTTCCTAAAACTAAATAAATCTGCGGTATCAAATTTGGTGATATGCTTGATACGTTTGTAAATGAGAAATGATTGTCGGCTAACCGAAAAAAAATTTCTCAGTTCCTTAAATTTGATGAAGTAATTTAAAAAATAACACTTAGACGACTTCATATTTTAGAAATCATGAAAGAATCTAAAATTTAGCACGACTACTCAAATTTCAAATTTGAATTATCAGTTCAATTAGGTAAAAATAAAGATCAGAAATCAATTCAATCAATTAAAAATAACAAAAAGTAGCAGTAACAGATTCAAAAAAATTTAACAAAAAATATCATTTCAAATATCTTGTTGAAAATAAAATCAAAATTAAATTTTGATCGTAAAAATGTAATTGGATATTTGCCATATCCATTGACCTATAATCAATCGTCTTAACACTGATAATTTAGCAAATATACAACATGCTTTAGTTTCAGCGTCCAACAAATGGCACCATTTCTTGCACTACAGATGGTAATTTTTAATTTATCAGTGATTTTTATTTAAATAAATTCTCTCATTTGAAATACTTCAAATAAAAAAGTGAGACAAACTGAAGCTAATTTTATTTTTGCATACGACATAATTACAGAGAAGCTAAAAAATGGAATAAAAATGGAACCAAGATTATTAAATTGGAATATTTCGGGTGGTATACAAAAAGTATACTTTACGAATTATAGCAATGAACGACGAGCTATCAAGGTCTGACAATTTTTTTTTTGATCTTATCATTGTGACGATACTATCACAATTGCTATTCTTATCATCCCTATCATTTTTATTATCACTACCTTTCATCCTATTTGCTATGATTTTCTCGGAGATTGGAATTACTCGATACATTTCTATCATTTTCATGTGTAACGGAAAAGTTTTATTTTATCTAAAATTAAAAGAATTTCAAATTTTTATTTCAATTTTATTAAAAATTGAAATTAAAAATTTTTTCCAAAATACTTGGAAGATTATTTGTAGATTTTTACATACCACAATAAATCTCCAATATTTTGTCATTAATTACAGCGAGAGTTTTTTGCAGGTGAAATGCTCCGACAATTATTTGTATCGTGTCAGTCGTGTATTTACTTTTATTGAGCCAGGTGAAATGATTGGTATTGATATTGTTCGTCAGAATGGTGGTGCAAAGCCTGATAAAATGATTTTCCTCTGGACTAAAGTAGGACACTCTCTTTTTTTTTTGATTTTAAAATCAATCATTTGATTTATTTATTTTTTTGCTTTGTTTCGCGTTACTGCTATCAGTATATTGCTAAATCTGTGCATAAATTTCATAACTCGTAATTCCACTGTTTTTTCCTCCTATTTTCCAATTCATCATTATAGGCAGAAACGAGTGATAATAATGCTTCAAAGTTATTCAACAAAGTTTCAACTTATCCGATGCTTGTGCTACCTCTTACAGTTAACAATCCTACGGATTAATGAAGCTATCAAATGATAAAATAAAATCAATTTATTATGCATGTTCTATAAATTTTAACGGCATTATTTTGAATTAATTCGGTGAAATTACATTTAAATTGTTCGGCACTTCAGAAATATCACAATGAAATTGAATAAAACAAAATCAATTGCAACATTTTTGTGTAATATTTTATAAATTAACAGCTGGAAGAAAATGATTAAAAGCATCATAACACACATTTAAATTTACTCTAAAATTTCGAAAGCTAAACTTTTTATATTGGAACCAATAACATCGAGTGAGGAAAAATGCAAAAAGACACGAATGGGCTTTGAGGTGTTGAAGTTTTTTCTACAAATATCTCGTAATTGAATGAAATTATCATCGCAATCAACACAATTGAGATGACTTAAATTAATATTTGGAATATATCACAAACAGAATGAAAAATATAATATTGAATGAGATTAAGTAATGTAGAAAAAAGAAGCTAACTTTGAAAATTCAAATTAAGAAAAAATACAAGCATTTCCAATCAATTAGCTTTCTTCAAATTATGCAAATTTTATGCATGCAAATTAATAGCATATATAAGAAATTCAACAAATATAAAACATTAAATTACATTTAGTATCATCTCTATTGGCGAGCAATTAATAAAGTTCGGTTGTTCCGAAATTTGGAGCATAATTTATGAGTTAAATAATGGGAGTGTTTGTTACCGTGGAAGTGCTATTGAGTTTTGTGGTTCTACCATTGGTTGTTACTTTAGCAACCTTAGTTTCCTGTGGGAATTCACGACCGAAACATCAAGTAATCAGAAACAAATTATACCGTATTTTATAAATATACCGAATATGACTTAACCAAACTCCTCACCAAAATACTTTTTATCGGTAGATGACATCATTAATTTCAAATTCGAAGATTTTAAGCAAAAAAATTGTTTCTTGTGCTAAATCTAATAATAAAATTTTTTTTTTCTTTTAATTTGTAATTTTAAAATCTTAGGTGAACGTAGCAAGCAATTCATTGAGAGGACCTGTGAAAATAAGAAATAATAAGTCGGGAAGCCAAAAAGAAATGAAACGATCATCAGAAACACAAAAAACACGTAGTACAGAATCACAATCAGCTAAATCGTTCAGCAAATCACGCAAACAGCGAAGCATTCCTTTAAAAGTAAGTTTTTTTTTCTCCATTTTTTTCAAAAATTATAATTTAAAAATTAAACTTCAGCAATTTATTTCTGCAAAGTCAACGTACCGAACCGTTATCATCAGGTAGAAAGGATATTGAGGTGAAATAATTCATTGCCGTTTAAACTAATTCTGTTATTCTATTATTGCAACATTAACTCTTTCCGTGAAATATTTATGAAATTAAAATTATTAACAGATTAATCATGATAAAATTTTCCGAATGTTGTAAGTGTCGCTAAATTTGAAATTCAAAAAAAAAAATCTACCAGTAGTTTTTATATATATACTAACAGAAAAAGATTAAACAAACTAATCTGTTTAATATAATAAATTACATATGTTATGGACTAGATGACAGTGGTATAGAGTTAAAGAGTTAAAATGGCCAAAGGCAATTTTTCTCTCTCTTAAATCGTTTTAAAATAACAAATTTTATTAAGGACTTTTGTTTAATAAATTACTTTTTTTTTTCTAGAAATCATCGGACGCAAGCAAGAAGTCAAATGGTAAATTGTTCAATCAATTTACAGAATTAACATTTTTAGCATTGATAAAGGATGATGAATCAATCATTGTCTCAATTAAAAATGACTTCAAACAGCTGCTTTTTAAATAATTTGCAAATAATTTGATAGTCTCGTGAAATTCATCCGTACATTTGCAAATGCAACAACATTCACAGAATTTATTGCAAATGCTAAATTAAAAAATAAGCTGAAAGTATGAAATTTGTTGCCCAGAAATGAGTCACGAGACTGTTTAGATCATCGTGATCTGAAAATGGAACCCGTGGAGCTACATTGGAATACAACCGGCGGTATTCGACAGGTTTTCATCTCAAATCCCACTCCAATACGTCGTGCAATTAAGGTCACATTTCGTCACATTTATAAAATCACCTCTCTTTTTTCTTTCATATTTTTGCTTAATTTTAAAATTTTTTCAAAGTTGAAAATTTTTATACTTTTTTTTTCCATTTTTAATAAACAAATCTTCCGATTTCTTTTATAAGCTTGTTTTTACGTCTTTTTATGCTTCTTCTTCTTTATTATTAGTTCAGATGTTTTGTTTGATTTTAAATTGCTGATGATAAATTTCACTAACGGAAAGCAAAGAATTTCCGTAATAAATTTCAGGTAAAATGTTCGGATAACAGCATGTACCGTGTAAATCCGGTTTACTCGTTCATTGATCCCGGACAAATATTGGTTATCGATATTTTGCGTCAAAATGGTGGTGCTAAAGTGGATAAAATGGTTTTCGTCGCTGCTACGGTATTTTTCTTCTTTTTTTGTTTTGAACTGGTTGATCAATAACAACAAAAAAAAAATTTTTTTTTGAAAAAATTTTAATATTCTTGACTCATTTTTTTTTTGTTTTTCCCTAAATTTGCAATTATTTATTTTATTATTTTATCGTTCATTCAAATATTTCAGGCAAAGAAAGAAGATATAAATCCACGAACAGTATTCCAGGATAATTCACCAAAACCTATGATGGTTTTACCACTAATTGCAACCAATAATTAATGCATGAAAATTTAGCATTACAATCTGCAGCGGTCATCCAAATTTTGAAAGCATATTCATTAACAAACGCCATTTAGAACTCCCAAAAATTTCTTCCTGAACTTCATTGAAATATGAAAGCTCTATGGAATGAATAAACTCTCTTATTATACTCCTTACTAATTAAATTAATTACTGCATTCAGCAATAAATGATGCTTATTATATATGCTTAAAAAAAATTATTTCGTTTGTAATCTTGAAAATTTGAGAAATTCATATGAATTTTCATTTATACTATAATCTTCCTGAAATATGTCTCTTTTATGCAATACTTTTCCCTTGTTGTCAGCTGGCTATTGAATGACCACTCATTGTTGACCACTCAGTGCACCCAACTGATCTATATTTTCAAATTCCTTATTTACATTTTTTGTATTTTCAATCCGTTTATTCACACATGGTAGCAATTCAGTGAAAAGATTGAAACGAGTCATTACGATCAGAGGCGTAAAATCATTTAAAAATGATAGAATGATTTAATTAATTTAATTTTTTCATTTATTGCTGCTGCACTGAACTGCTAGAATTGCATGAAAAGTTTTACCAAATAAAGTAAACAATAAAGTAAAAAAATAAAGTTGCCAAGTAAAATAAAAAATTCGATCTCTCAAAAAGCAAAATTTTCATTAGTATCTTTTAAAGATAATGCAAAAGAAGATGGAAATTCTTTTTAAAGTTTATTCGTTTTCATGCATTTCTTATCTTACTTATTAACTTTTGTTTAGCAATATACAATTTTAATTTTAAAATAATTTGCAAAATTTTTTGAACGAAATGCACATAGGTTTTTATTTTTTTCCATTCATTTTGTTTTTGTTTAATTCTTTTAAATTCTAAAAAAATTCTTTGAATGATTCTGCTCTGTTACCTAATTTGCATTTTGTTTACAAGAAAAAAGTAATTAATATTTGTATAAAATACTATCGATATGTTCATCCGAAATTGTTAATGCTGTCATTTCTATTATCTTTGTGAACAATATTTAAAAATTATTCCATCATTTTTTCGACAAAAAATTGAAATTCTAATTTGATCAGTGTGAAAGGCTTTTCCTGTTTGACGTTATTTCCAGCACATGATTCTATTCACGTTAAGGTAATGTATAAATTACGTTAAGGTGATAAGGTTGTAACGAGATGATTTAACAAGTTATAGTTATTATCAACAAGAAATATTTTGATTTTCACTGTCAGAACCTTTCTTCCTTGAAGATCTAAGACTTTTGTAAATACTATATAAAGTGGATTCAGTTCAAAGGAAAGTATTAATAACAAAGAGCTAATAAAGGATGAAACATAATTCAGTTATTTATGAAAAATTTGATTGAAATTGAATTAAAATAATGTGATTGATAATAAGTGGAAATTTGAAGAAAAGCTCATTGCATTTATTTCATATTGTACTGTACGGCGGTATATTCAATACGCCGATTACGTGTGTTATCCCATGGGAAATTGTGATAAAGATGCGGGGGATTCTGGTTCATTCGTTATTTCAACTTTTCATCTAGAAAATTCATTCAAAAAAGTTTGGAGAAAAAATTACTAAACTTTTGTGAGAGGAACTGTTTTATTGGAACATTAACTTTTTTATGGGAAAAATTTTAGAGATACAAAGATGTTACAGGAATTCACTCACCTGAGCATTTATCCGGTTCACAGCACAAAAGCTCACAATTAACGGGATCTCGATGTGGATCCGGTCTCAGTAGTTCACCACGTGACCTTTCGCCTCCATTACTTCAGGTGTTAAAATGCTTCAGAACATGGTCAAATTTTTTTCACTCACATGCAGGAAGCAAAAGATGAAATTAAATGCTATGAAAAACATTTTCAAGTATATAATTTAAGGAATTAGCATGTATGAATCTTCGTGAGATGGCCTCTCGACCAGATATTGGTCGTGCTGGACGTCAAATAGCAGTTCGTTCGAATTTCTTTGAGGTCGGAATTGTTAACAATAATATGATGGTTACTCAATATTATGTAGAAGTTCATCATCCAGGATCCAGAAAACTTGATAGGTTCATCTCTCTTTTTTTTTCTTACAAACTTCGAAACAAATACTGCAAAATCCACTTTATTCATTTATTCTAATAGTTTTAATGATAGAGTTAGCTGAATGCACAAGTTTACAACAAAAAACAATCTTTGTTTGTTTAATTATTAATCTTGATCAAAAAAAAATCAAAACTATTGATGTAAATTTTTGAAACAATAAAATAAATTTTCATAAGTACATTTTATTTCAGTAACGAAATTCGTAATAAAATAGTGAAATTTGAAAATAAATCTATTTTTTTTTCCTCCACAACAATATTTGCCTTACTTTTCTATTTTAAATTTACCAATATGAAACCGATCAATTCAAAAATTGTCCATCACCATCTCAGCAAAAAAAAAAAAAGATTGCAAATATAGGGAAGAGAATCGTGCGATATTTTGGAAAGTGATAATTGATCATCGTCAATATTTCCCAAATAAATTTGCCGTTGCATACGACGGAGCACATCAATTGTACACTCCAACACGTATTGAATTCCCGGAAGGACGTCCGTCTGTGAGTTAATTCTTTTTTTTTTAATAATTAAATTTAGGCTTTGATGAAAGAAATAATGTGTAAGATGTTGTACAGATTCGACTTGAATGTGATGTATCGTTAGCGAAAGATTCACGGGAGCGTACTCGTTGCGCGGTCTCATTCCAGTGCGTGGGTCCCGTACTTATTGAAATGCGACGTACAAGAACAAATAATTTAGATGAAAGAATTTTAACTCCAATTCAAATTATTGATATTGTATTTCGTCAATCACTTACTTGTCCATATATCGAGTACGGTTGATTTTTTTTTCTTCGTTTTCTTTTTTTTTTTATTTTTGTTAGAATTTTGTTAAAAACTATTCTTTAAATTTCTACTCTTTTTTTTGTTAGAATTTTGTTGAAATACTTCAAATTTCTATCTTAAAGGCAATTTAGATCTTTAATTTTGCTTCTATTTTAAATCTAAATGACCAAAAAGTAAAGCTTATGGCATCTGTTTTGCTGCAGCTATGTGTATCACGTTTACGGTACAGACGTTACATTTG